CCCTTCCCATCCCTGGCTGTATGGCTGAGATTTGTGCAGCTCAGTAAACACACCAAGGTGTTGTACAGGGAGACACTTCCTGGGTGAGCACCTACTCTGCACCCGATCCTTCCCCTGCACTGTCTCATTTGATAATAACAACTGTGGGTGGAAGGTATTTCTAATCTCATTCTGTAGATGAAGTTCAGAGAGGCTAGTTGACCTGCTCAAGGTGACTCAGCTGGACGGGGGCAGAGCTGCGTTGCACACCCAGGCCTATCTGGGGTTCTGCAACCACAACCTGATTTCCTGAAGCCAGATACCACCTACCTCTACCCCCACCTAGCATCATCAAAAGCCCCTGTGATGCCCAATCTGCATTTCTGATACAGAAAGTCTGACCATGGTTATGTGCTTGCGGGTAGAGGCCAGATGCCGAACAGCATTAACAGTCTGAGCCCTAGTTAGGTTACAAAGCAAACAATGCCAACCTTTCAGAGATGGAACACTGAGGCACTGCAGAAGATGGGAACAGAAACACTTTTCCAAGGAAGTGCCCACATGGGAGTAGTGGGGGGGAGGGGTGTCTGTTCATACAGCTTATATAGCAAGTGGTCAGTTTGTGGTTTGACCCCTGGATTCATGTGTCTTCTTTACTGTCCCCTGGGGTCCTGCTGTCTATGCTGGCCAGGCACATGGAATCCACGGGGGACCCTTGTCAAAATCACAGAGTACCTTCTGACCTTTTTACCTTACTATTGTTATAAAGTAGAATTTCCCCTGTTTCAGAGATGAGAAGACAGGTTCAGGGAAGGTAACAAGGACACAGCTTGAAAGTGGTCACTTGTCTGACAAGACTGGTGATAGTGCAGTTTCAGGCACTGGTATGGGCTCACGGGAGATCTGGTTTAAATAAAAAGAACATAGGAATACACACATACATCATTGCTGTTGAGCCGATTCCAATTCATGGTGACCCTATGTGTGTCAGAGGAGAACTGTGCTCCATAGAGTTTTCATGCTTTTTTTTAGAAATAGACTGCCAGGTTTTTCTTCTGAGGTGCCTCTGGGTAGACTCGAACCACCAACCTTGTGTTTAGCAGCTGAGTGTGCGAACTATTTGTGCCACCCAGAACCCACTGCCATCGAATCGATTCCAACTCATAGCATGACCCTAGAAGACAGACTGGAACGCCTCCTTACGGTTTCCAAGGTTCCAAGTCTTTATGGGAATTGGTGGATTTGAACCACAGTTAGCAGCTGAGCACTGTGCCACCAGGGCTCCTTTGGTGCCACTCAGAGACTTTTGGTGGTGGTGATGGTGGTGTGCTGTGAAGTCGCTTCTGAAATACTAACAGCCACCATTACTACTTCCAGAGTTTCGTTTCCTTCTCCCTTAGTTCTGTGTTTGCCACCTCACAAAGGCCCCCTGTGGAGCACTGGTCCCCCACCCCTGCCCATGGACTGTGGCAGTCCACCCTCTGCCCAGACAGCTGCGTGTGCACAGCCCATCTCCCTAGCTCCTCTTCACTTCCCCTTTGCCCTTCCTCTTTCCCAGTGTATTTTTAGAACTCTTTCTGCTTGCAGCCCTGCTTCCAGAACAGCTGGCCTTGCTTCTCCTTTCCAGGGTGGGAGGAGGGTGCTGTCCTGGGGCCCAAGGGAAGAGACCCCTCAAAGGCTCTCTGTGGAGGCCCCGGGGACAGAAAGGTGTCTGGGGGGAGCTACTTTCCGCCAGGCCCTGCAGGCAGGGCATGTGGCTTCCTCTTCCCTAGCCTCTACATCTATTTTTAACCACAGCCTGGCCCCTCTGCACTAGCAGAAACTTGTCTTTGGTCACTTTAGGGCTTTGTAGCTTAGACCTCTCTCTCACCTTCCTGGCAGGCCCTGGGGGAAGGAGCCTGACCTGCTTCTGGGGACAGGAGGTCGGGGAAGCAGTTTTGGGGAGTGAGGGCTGGTGGCTTTGGGGAGTGGGGGCTGGTGGCGAGGTATTTCCATCATTCTGCCCATGATACAGGTGGGAAAACTGAGTTCCTTAGAAAGGGAGAGCTATCATGACCATTGGAGATGGATTCATAGCTAAGCCTTGAGCCAAGTCTGGCTGACCAAAGCTGTTTGTTCCCCAAGTGGACTTCTCCAGGTGGGAGCGAAGGTGCCAATTTATAGATGTTGAATCTGAGCCCAGAGGGGAAAGTGCTCCCACCCCATCACCACAAGGAGCTAGCTCTTCCTTCTTTCATCCAGTTCTTCCAAAAAGCCTTCCCATAGCCCCCTCCTCCCACATCTGCCCTGCAGGGGTTCTCTCCCTCTCCCCCAGCGGAAGTTCCCCCAGGGCCAGACTGTGAATGGGTCATTACTGACCCAGCATCACCCAGCACTGGACCTGCACACAGGGGGCGGTTCACAGAATGAATGAGTCAACAGTTGTTGTTGTTGTTGGGTGTCATCGAGTCGGTTCCGACCCATAGCAACCCTGTACAGGGTTTCCGAGGCTATAAATCTTTACAGCAGAAAGCCTCCTCATCTTTCTCCCGCGGTAAAGACCCCAAATTTCCCAACACATTGCTTGCACTGACCACATTTAATCCACTTCCTTCCTAGGGCCAGTCTGAAGCAGGACAGTGACTCCCTCCACCACAGGCTAACCCCGGGCTCTTCTCGCCTCTGTCCCTGCTCTGCCACGTACTGGCCTTGTGACAAGGGACCAGACAAGCCTCTTTTCCACTTCACCTCTGTGAGTCTCAGCATACCCATAACACCCCTGCTCCTAAGGACCTCATATGCTGAGACCCCAAAGGACGCAGCACTGCTGGTGGACAGATTAACAGTGTGTGTGTGTGGGGGGGGGCGGGTGTTATTTCTCGCTGATGTCCTCACTGACCCATCTCACCAGTCACATCAGCTCGGCCACTCCTTTGCTGGGTCATTGTGTGCTAGGTACCGCCTCTCACTGGGTCTCTACTTGTCACTAAGATGCATCCATGGAGCCTGGACCGAGGTGTGTGAACCCACTGGAGGAGGGAAGAGCACTGGACAGCAGATGGGGCATTGTCCAACCTCTGCCTTGGCAAGGCTGCTGCCCCTTTGTTCTATCTATAGAGGGGATCAGTGGAATGCTGTTGATCACCCATTCTCTAACTGTGCTGCCTGGAACCCACAGGTTCCACCTTTGTGGGCAGGGACTATCCAGTGGGTGGGGTTCCATCGGCTCTGTCAGTGTTAGGTTCTGTTTGAAATCATGGGGCCTGGGGAACCAGACAGCTCCTCCCAGCCCCTGTGTTCTGGAATTCCAGGCAATGCTGGAATATTCTGAGACTCTTTCTGTTCTTCTCTCTGCCTCACAAGTCTGCCCCATTCACTCGTGTCCCAACCTCATTGGAGCCGCTTTGTCTCTTTCACCTCAGACTCAGCATTCTAGTTACTAGGGATCATCCCTCACTGGCTTTGTCCTCGGTCTCCCAAAGGGCCCCCCAACACATACACTCCAGGGCAAACAGGGGCTCCAGGGCTCTTGAAACACCCACACAGAAATGATCGTCACCCACACCATCACAAGTTACCATCCTCAGTCCTGCCTCTGAGCTTTGCATTGGCTGTTCCCTGCTGGACATACTCCCCTGTCCCCCTCCATCCCCTGTCCTAGACCCACATGTCCACTCCCTCCTCTTCTTTAGGTATCTCTCTGCTCCCGCAGCCTCGCCACTTGGGGCCTTCTCACCCACTCTCTCCCATCTCTTATCTGGCTTTACTGGATTTCCTTGTTGGTTACCAACTGAAAGATTCCACAGACTGGGTTTGCGTGGTACCTGCCTCATTCACAACCTGACATCGCGGCAGAGCTCAAGCATTTGTCACATGCCCTTCGGTCTCCCAAGTGCTTTATATCCATTGAATCCTCCCAAGACCCTGTGAGGGAGGCACTAGTGTCCCATTCCACAGAAGAGGAAACCGAGGCCTAGAAAGACTGGCTGCTTTGACTAAGAACACACAGCTAGAGAGTGGAGGAGGGGTTTTGCAGCCAGGTCTGGGAGCTGGAATGTGCCCTTGAGGCCAAGAACTCTTAGGAGGTGGGGGGGGGGGGGCTGAGATTAGGCATGCCCCTTCCAGGTTGGAGCAGTCCAAAGTCAGAAGAGCCCACTAGGAGTCAGGGCCCCCAGGATCTCGTTTCCATGTGGCAGTGGCCAAGTCACTTAAACTGCTGAGCCTCAGTTTCCTTTTCTGCTAAATAAAACCACAGTCCCTGAAGATAACGGATAGATCTCAAACTTCAGAGATGGACAAGACCACGATTGTCACCTAGCAGGTGGGTCCTCTCCAGAACTCCTGACTGCCCACCATGCTCAGCTCTGTGTGCTGTGGCTTGGCCTGAAGGATATAGCCCAGGTGCCCAGGGTGGTCCCTGCCCACCCCACACTTTCAGAAGCTCTGCCTGGCTTGGAACGAAGACAGTGGGGAGGTGGCGCAAAGCTGACTGAGGGATCTATTTCCAAGGTGGAAGAGCAAGTATAGGGGCTCCAGGAAGCCTGGGTTTGAGGTGTATTAGAAGCAGCCCATTACTGGATCTCAGGGCGCCCCCTCCTACCCAGCGCTCCTGGTAGGGAATGCTTTCCTCCTAAGCCAAGCTTTCCACGTCAGAGCAAGGGGTACTATTGTGCCTGATGGCGAGCACTGAGCAGGGTGAGCTAGACCATGGGGTCTCCTGGCCACTGGCAGAGAGATCTCAGAGGCAGCAGGTGCCCTGGATACTGGGTTCTAAATCGGATTCCTCCTCTGCTGTGTTGTGTGTCTTTGGGAGGTTCCTGGCTCCCCAGTACAAGCCCCCCCTTGCAGTGACTTCAGCACCAACATCCTCCACACCCCTGGGTGTCAGCGGGTGTGTGTCGGGGGCAGCCGCAGCAGCTTCTCCGCTGGGACAGGGGATAGCATCTTTCCCACTTGGGGCTCCGAATCCGCCTGCTCATCCCTGATCCTGCTCAGTGGAGCTCTTGCATACATCCATACACTCTGTCCCTCTGGGGGCTTACCTGGGTGACACAGGTCCATCCCGAGACCCCCAGGGGGACAGAAGTCCTGCTCCTGTTGCCTGATAATCCAGCTGTTGCTTGAGTTGGCCCGGCAGGGATTCGTTGCCTCCAATGCAACAGGCTTCTTACCTCCCTCCCACCCGCCCAGCCCAGAAGAGCAAAACCCAGCCCAAGGCAGCCCAGCCCAGCCCAGCCCAGCCCAGCCCAGCCCAGCCCCACGTGGGGAGGAAGTCCTGGCCCAGGCAGGTCTGCTGCGCAGACTCCAGTTGCAGTGGTACTTCCTAAAAATTGGCAGTTTCCAGTAGCAGGGACTCTACATCTTGTGTGTGAGCAATGGAAGGAGGGAGGGGAAAGACAGACTCAGAGAGAAAGAGAGAGAGAGAGAGAGGCAGAGATGATCCAATGATCCGTGGAAGACAGAGCCGGCATTCACTCAGCATAAAGTCAAAGGTCACACATGTTGGACAAGTTCATGCAGGCCCCAAATGTTCTTTCCCACAGACTCCCTTTCCTCAAAGTCCACTTAGAAAAAGAGAAAAAAATCAGTGCTTTAGGAAGGCCTTTGCTTCCCCTCCAAGAAATATCCGACTGTTTTCTGTCTAGTGACCAATTGGGCAAAACGTTACATTTCCCGTTTTCCCCAAGCTGCTGAACAGCTAGCTCACAGTCAAATCTGAAGCTCGTTTACATCAACACGTGTACAACGGTTATATAATAATAATAATAGCATGTGGACTTTGGGGACCACACTCAGTTTGACTCAGCTCTGTGTGAACTGTGTGAATCAGACTCAGTCTACTCACTTATAAAAGGGAGACTAATGATCGGAAACCCTGTACAGGGTCGCTATGGGTCGGAACCGACTCGACGGCACTTAACAACAACAACAACAACAATGATACTTATTCAGAGTCCACAGAAAAGATTACTGTTATTACCAAGTGACACTAAGTTGGTTCTGACTCACAGCCACCCTACGTAGGGTTTCCGAGGAGCAGCTGGTGGGTCTGAACCACTAACCTCACAGTTCAAACTGAACTTTATGGTCCAGTGCCTATCCTATAACGAACGGCCACCCTGGGACTCCACAGAAAAGACAAAGTGAGAAAATGTGTGTGGGTGTTTGGAACATACTGGGTATTCAAAGACATTACCTACTTTTTCCTTTTGATTTTAATGTTCCGCTTAGATTAAAATTCATAATTTTATGATTATGCCTTTTCTGGCAGTTTGACTTAAGTCTTTTATGGAGAAGGATGTGACGTAAAGAGACATCTATAAAGTGAATGCTCATTCCCTATAACTCCGTGGCATGTGCTGACTTCCTTGTCTTTTTCTCACTCATCTGGAGGCCACTTAACTTTTGTGCCCTGTTGGCTGCTAAAATGCAAGGGACATAAAACTAATAGCTTTCAAGTTGATGCCTCCTCAAAGTGCTGTAGAGTAGAACTGCTTCCCAGGGTCCTCTTGACTGTAATCTTCATGGGAGCAGATTGTCACACCTTCTCTAGCACCCCTGGGTGGCTTCAACCCAGCAACCTTTAGGTTAGTAGTTTGAGTGCAAACTGTTTGCATCATCCAAAGACATCAAGGGTATACATGCATGGAATGACTGAGTGAATGAGTGAGTGAATGAATGAATGAATGAGTGAATGAATGAGTGAATGAGTGAATGAATGAGAAACAGGGGAGAGAGTGTGGTAGATGCAAACGACTGGCTACCATGTCTGTCCCTCCCTGTATCCAGGCTCTTTTGCCCTGTGCCGCTGCTGCTCCTCCCACCAGGAAGAGGAATCTATTTCTCCTGCCTTTGAATCTGGGCTGGCCCTGTGTCTAGTTTTGGCCAATCGAATGGAGAGAAAGTTACATTACACGATATTCAGGACTAGGCTTTGTAGCTCCCGTTCTTGCTCTTGGATCACTGCTCAGTTGCCATGAGAACAAGTCTGGGCCGCCCTCTTGGAGAATGGCGAACACATGGAGAAAGGTCTACGTGCCAGTCAGCCACAGCCACATGAGTGAGCCCGGGCAAGACTAGAACCACTTAGCTCCACTTAGCTAAAAATAAAATAAAATTTAAAAAATTATATTTCTTTTGTTGTGTTATTGTTGTTAGATACTATCGAATCGGGAATCGGTACCGACTCATAGCGACCTTATGCACAGCAGAACAAAACACTCCCCGATCCGCGGCCAACCTTACCACTGTTGCCATGCTTGAGTCCATCGATGCTGCCACTTGGCCAATCCATCTCGTTGGGGGTCTTTCTCTTTTTCTCTGACTCTTCACCTTACCAAACATGATATCCTTCTCCAGTGACTGGTTCCTCCTGACAATATGTCCAAAGTATGAGAGATTAAGTTTAGCCATCCTGGCATCCAAGGAGCACTCTGGCTGCATTTCTTCCAAAACGGATCTATTAGTTCTTTTAGCAGCCCATGGTACTTTCAATATTCTCCTCCAAAGGTATCAATTCTTCTATGGTCTTCCTTATTCACTGTCCAGCTTTCACATGAATATGAGGTTATTGAAAATACCATGGCTTGGGTCAAGTGCACCTTAGTCCTCAAGCTGACATCTTTGCTCTTCAACACTTTTAAAAAAAGCAGATTTGCCTAATGCAATACGTCGTTTGATTTCTTGACTGCTGCTTCCGTGAGTGTTGATAGTTGATCCAAGAAGAATGAAGTCCTTGACAACTTCAATCTTTTCTCCATTGATAAGAATGTTGTTTATTGGTCCAGTGGTGAGGATTTTTGTTTTCTTTGCATTGAGATGTGTTAAGCCACCAATACTGGGGGAGGCTTGACATACAGAAAAATCTCATGGGTACAGATGGAACCCATCCCCTTTCAGTGAAAAAGAAACTGAGGCACATTTCTGAAGATGTGCTTGACTAGCTTGAGTTAGTGGTCCATTCAGGATGAGAAGCTAGCCCTGCTGACGCTCAGTCATAGGGTTCTTCCCCTGGAGCTAGCATAACTCAAGACTATTATCTGGGATATTCGTTACTGACATCATCTCTAGGATAAACTACAAGTGTCTCAGCAAATCTGAGTCTGAGACACCACAAACCATTTCTTGGGTTACGTCAATGAGAGACATGGGAAGAAAGGTAGAAGAAATGCCTATGTACAAAGACGGAATGTCTCAGGCCTGAGGTTGCTCTTCTGAGGAAAGCTGGCTTCCTACCTTCAGGAGAGTCCTTACCATTTCCTTTGTCTAGACTGTGTTAATCTATGGTTTATAAGGAACCTCTGTGCCTGCCTATGTGACCAGCCCCCAGCCAAAACCTTGAGCACTGACTCTCCAGTGAACTTCCATGGTAGCCAACGCTTTGCACTTATAACCCCACTTTATTGGAATCACACAATCCACTCTGTGTACACTTCACCAGGAGAGGACTCTGGGAAGCTGGTTTCTGTTTCTCTGGTCTTTGTCCCAGGTAACTTTTCCCTTTGCTGATTTTGCTTTGTGTCCTTTCACTATGTAATAAACCCTAGCTGTTCAGTGTGATGAAATGCTGACTCCTGTGAGTCCTTCTTGCAGATCATCCAATTTGGAGGTAGCCATGAGGGACCCCTGACACATGCCCCAAGGCTGTAGCTGGACCCAATGTGTTGCCTTGTCCAGGGCCACAGTTGGACATCTGGGACATCATTCTTGTCTGAAGGACTGGTAGAGTGATTCAGTTATTGTTACTTTCATTCCTCTGCCCCTGCAGTCCTGGTCACATTGAACAGCTTGTATGCAGACAGCCTGGGAGGGAGGGACCCTCACTTTGTGGATGGCAAAGGGTTGAAGAGAATTCACAGAATGGGAACTACAGTGACATGGACCCAGCCCTTGTTAATTGTGTGGTCTGAAAAGATGGCACGGTTGATTTCCGTTGCATAAACAGGAAACTTAAATAACAGTGAAACCATTGTTACATAGAAACCATTGTTTACATCTATTAGAAATTGACTCATCTCAGTAGGAAATGCAGGGCTGCCCTGGCAGCACCATGGCCATCAGGATCCAGCCTCCTTCCTGCTTTCTGTTTCTATCCTCAATGTGTCCTCATGATCCAAAGTGGCTGCCTGGGCTCCAGCCATTGTATCTGAATTCCAGAGAGCAGGAAAGATGAAGTTAGGAAGGGCAAAGAGAGTGCTCTCAGTCACATCAGCTTCCCCTAAAGGAATTTCCCTGAAGTTCTTTCTGGTCTTAGGTCAGCCTTTCAACCTTAAAAAAGGCTCGGGTTTCTCCATGTGTGCTGTGCTGAAGGCCCACAGGTGATGATGAGACAACATATGGCAGTCTCAAAACAGGGGTCTGGGAGGTTCCAAAAGAACCACCACTGGAGTTCTCACTATGGGCCAAGTGTGGTGCCAAGTGCTTGTATATCCTTTCACTTAATCCCTTTCACAGCTCACTGAGATATGATTACAAGCCCTGGTTTCTACTCCTCAACTTGGAAACTGAGTTCAAAGAGACAAAGTCACTGTCCCCCAAGGTCACACAACCAGAAAGGGTTGTCATCCCTGAGCTGCTTGGCTTTAGAGCAACATCATTCCAGACTTTTCCAAAGCAGCTCAGTGGCCTACCCTCCCCTCACCCTGCCCAGTCCTCAGGAAGAGCTAGGAAGCATCCAGCACTCCAATCCAATCATCACAAAACCACCTGGGTGACACTTTGTGTTTGATGAAAACCTTAGGATTCCTCACTTGGACACGGCTGGCTCAAGGGCAAGAGCAAGATGGAAATCAACCAGGGAACCAGTGGCTTCGGAGTCGGTTCTAACCCATGGCTACCCCATGTGAACCAGAGAACTGTGCTCACAGTGTTTTCAATGACTGATTGTTCAGACGTAGATGGTCAGTTCTTTCTTTCATCCAAAATCCATCCATCCATCCATCCATCCATCCA